GAAGTAAACACAACCAAATACACAAGAGTTGTTAACGATGGCCTCTTGCTCTTTATTTTAAAGGAAGCTTGAAATCCAGCTCTGCAGGTCGTCTCTCTTGCTCTACTTTGGGAAACCCTTTGCAGCCAAAATGCTCGAGAAGAACTAACGCTCTCATTAAGTGCAAGACGACGGGGGGCTCGAGCTAACAGTTTTCCCTGCCACCAGGAACAGAGGTCCCAGCTTTCTCCACACTCATTTGCAACCACTGCAAAAACCTGCCGTGAGAAAAGTTCCCAGACCCAGCTCTTACCTGAGACAGCGGGTGGGTAGTGCTGCTGTGCCGTGCCTGGTCTGTGACACGCCACTCAGGACATCGTGGGAGGACATAAGGCCATTCCTGCATCACCAGGGGCTGCATCAGAATCAATGTTCATGGGGACGGAGACAACTCTGGGCACGAGCACCTGAAAAGCAGCATGAGAGTCCCTGGGTCAGCCTGCACCTCCTCTCGGAGCTGACCCCCTTCCCAGCTGCCCAGTGTGCTGCCTTCACAAAGGCTGAAGACTGAAAGGACGTATTTTTTTAATATGTTTGTACTAATGTTGCAAACTTTTTTCATCTAAACATCCAATTCTTTTTTGGACAATTTGCTGTAACGGTATCCTGCGTCAGTGAGTCCCACAGATTACATCTCATTTTTAAAAAGTGTTGGCTTTCTTGAAATGCAGAATGATGCCCAGAGTTTAAAGGAGGAGAGAGGATCTCACTGCCATGATTACTGTCATTATTTAGACATAATAGACATATATCCATTACAGACAGTCTTCTCAAACGTATTTTTTCCTCTTACGTTCAGAAGGAAAATTGCTTAGAACCTCAGTTTCCCATACATGCATCTGACACTATCAGCTACCTTCTTACGAGTTTTACTCATTATGAGTTATAAAATTTCCCTTTTTATTCCGTTTTGAAAACTCTATGACCCACAAAGCCAGGTAGCAGTGGTCTCTTGTCTATTCTATGGACCTGAAATGCAACCTTCAGTCACAGCATTGCCTTTTTTTGCTGTTTGGACTTTGAATAAGAGAAAATAGTCATTTAAACCGCTGACAGCACTATCTCAGCTTTGCAGAAAAAAGGTGCAAGGTAATATTTACTTGAATCTGGCAAATTTCTAGAACTGAAGCACAACCTATTTGACCGATGGCAGTGCCATGAAAGTTGCTGAGCACCGACACGTTCACAGCAGGATGGAGACCTAACGTACGCAGGCTGTGAGCCCTACACAGGGCTTTGCCCAGACCAGATTCGGCACACCTGAGGTCAGATGAGCAAATCGAGTGATGCCTGAACATTGCCTGTGGCGGGTCAAGAGGCAGCACCGAGGGACCCACTGCCTGACTTGGAGATTGCTTTCCTGCTTTTAAAAGAGAAAGATCATCTGGCTCCAGCAGCCAGACTTCACGCCCAACCAGAGATGGGGATGCTTCCAAGGTACAGATGGAGCAACGCTGCTGGAAGGTCGGTGGGTCCTTCACACCTGGCTCACTCGGAGCAGCTGAGAAATTTCCTGCTTGGTCCTGGCAGGGCAGGAGCTGGCAGCACGTCCTGCACGGCCAGAAATCACGTCGCACGTGAGGAGAAAGCCCCCAGGCCCTGGCACATCCTTCCCTTGTCTCATGCTTTCACATCCCTCACTCCCCTGCCTGAGCTCTTACTGCCTCTCCCCATCCATTACACATATTAAAAGCTTATCCTGTTATGATTTTTTTTTAATCCCTTAGCAATTCCTACAGCCATAATTCTCTCCTTCTCCAGCAGAACAGCCTGTGCTGAGCTCTCCAACATGCTGATAATCCAAGGTCCTGTCCTCTGCCCCTCCTGCCCACTTGCACAAATGAACACAGCAGATCGTGTATCGCCCTGCTCCTTTCCCTGTGCAGGCAGGGTTATCGAGACTTATTAACAGCTATAAATTCCATGGTCTTGCAGGGAATATTCACCTCATGTAACTCCGAGGGTACAATAGGATTTTTTGTCTTTGGCAGCAGGTAACATCACGTCCTACCCTTCCGATGCTCGTCCTACTTGAGGTCTGAGCTTTCCCTGATCATCTAAATCACCTCTAGACAAGGTTCAGTCTAGCAGAGACACAATTTTCAGAGCACAAAAAGTTATTCTGCCTCAAATCCTCCATCAGATGAATGCCATTGAGTTACCTCCCCTCCTGAGTGCCGGATGACAAGGTCCATCAGGACCCAGAGCCGTGGCAGAAAGGAATTAAAGCCTGTCCAGGGCAACAGCCAAAGAACAAGACCAAGCTGGAAAGCCAGCAAAGGCCACTACCTCTAGCACGTCCTGTGCAGTACCTTGGTGACACAGAAACCTTATCACAGGTCTGATGGCAACAACTCAGCTGCCCTTTGCCATTCTGCAACTGCAGAGACAAATCCCAGATGCAGAGAGCTCGAGAGGACGTGGAAATAACTCAGCAGCACAGAAACCAGTCCCAAGGAGGACATTCAGTGGGAGACAGACAACCAGACAGTGAGGCATGACTGCAAGCAAGCCAAAAGCTACCTGTGATCCCTCGCCAAATTCCCTGCTATTACAGGAACCAGGTGAGGAGAAATGCTCTTCTCCGCTCCGCTCCTCTGCCGTGGCACACAAAATAGCTCTGACACTTGCACATTGACTTTAGAGCTTCAGTACCCACACCGTGTCTGGCCACTGCAGCATGTGGGTGCTTCCCGGCTAAATGTCTATTGCCTGCTGCTCGTGCTTGTCAAGAATTGAACCCGTGACCCACTTTGCCTCTCTCACACCAGCATTCACCCTCTGCATTAGGTTTGTGCTGGAGATCCCGCATGCTATAGCCAAAGGACAACATCAATCAGAAAAGATCTGAGCGTTGACAACCAAAATTACCACGCCTGCAGCCCACTACAAGCCTCTACTTGAAGAGGAGTTGAAAAATCCTCCTTTGGAGGACTCGGGGAACAATGTGGTCAGGCAGTCTAACCAGATTTAAAGTGAGGTTGATCCCCTGGGCACGAGAAGGAGAAACATCAAGGCCCACGTGAACAGAAACAGGTGAGAATTTCCACAGGAGGGCATTGCAAGGAGCAGTCTTACAGTCACCATGGAGCAGGTGTTGGGGCTCTGCATCCACACAGTGGAAAGAGCAAGGAGTGAAACCTTTCTCAGTGGTGTGTCTCACCTGGTCTTTGCTGGAGGTCCCCGTTCCAAGCGCAAAGGTGATCAGATCCTTCCCCAGAAGGATCAGGTACAACCCTGTTACATGGTGGTGGTTTGCATCCTGCCACATGAAAAGCACCCAGCGCTTGCCTCTGCTCTTAATATATCTTAAGAAACTGTCGAGGGTTCAGGCTGGGCCAGCCACTAAATGCTGACAGATGCTCTCTAACCCCTCTCCCTTCCCCATCAGGAAGGGAAAAGGAATAAGGCAGAGAGACGGACTGGAAAACTAAAACAGCTTTAAGAAAACAATAACGGTACCAATAACAGAATAATGAAAAATAATGAAAACCATTCAAAACCCATTTTGAACTGCTAGCCATCCCCACAGATGCTGCAGAGCAGGCAGCACCGGCGCAGCTCCAGGCTCAGCGGCAGAGGGGAACCGGGCACAGGGGATGGATTTGGGAACTCGGGGTCAAAGGCAGGAGAACAGACAGAGTCCTCCTCGTACGCTGGCCACTGAGAAAGACTTAACTCTTGTGATCCCTCACGTTTATACTGAATACGACATATGTGGAATGGAATACCCTTGCTGGTCACCTGTCCTGTCCATTCTTCCTTGGAGGTGCTACCTTTTACTTCCTTGCAACCTCTTTTACTTCCAGTGTTACACAAGATCCAGCAGTGACCTTGGTCACTATAGGGGAAAGGATAAGCAAGAACCTTTCTGCGTCCCAGTCCTTGGTAGGAACCATAAACCTCAGATGTTACCATTTCTAGTAGTAGGCACTGTCTGCAAAAATGTGCTGTTGACTTCAGGAAGTGTAGCCTCTTAGAAGAGATAGAGCTGAAAAGTAAAATCACTCAACAGAAATGGTTCTGTTTAGCTCAAACCAGGACAGAAACAAAGCATGAGGGGTTTCACAGTGCTGTGTTACAGCTCCCAAACAGACCAGTGACAAAGCCACAACTGCTTAGCCTAGTTGGAGAACGTGATAATTCCCTAGTTGAAAAATAAGAAAGCAAAAAATCCTGCATTTCAATAGCTGAATGCTTGAGCATTAGGACATATTTAAAACAAACTAGTTGCCTTTTTTTCTTCCCCTACATGTGCTGTACCTGTTACAGGTTCAGCGCTGGAGAGCCTGGCTGCCCGCGCTCCTTTCCAGGCAGTTTGACAAAGGCAGCTGGAACGGCCTTTGCTCTTGGGCTCTACTGCACAAATTATTGCTCTGCTCGGTCCTCCCGGCACTCTTCCTACTTACAGACCTGTTGCAGCAGCAGCACTGACTGGCCAGAGAGGCAGCATTTGGGTGCCCAGGCTGTGCCGCAACTCCTGCGGCATCTCGATTCCATCCCAGCCAACGGTAAGATAACAGCTTGGCACCAGCGCATGTGCCACACGCTGTATTTTTGCTGCATTTGTTTTAAATCCTCCTGAGCTCTCCCAAACATCAAAGGGAATTCACATTACACCCAACCGCCATCGGTAAAGGTAACCCTGCGGATTAGGGACCTGCCAGAGAAGCTAGTCCAGGGTCAGGTGTTGAATTTCCAGCTCTCTGCCACATATGGCAGCAGCAAAACCAGCGTATAGGTCAAGAGGTCTTTCCATCACAAGGCTTATGCTTTGAATTGCTAATTTCCTCCCCAACATTCTTTCCCGGCTGAAACTTTCCACTTCTTGGCCTATAAGAGGAAAAACACAGCAACATTTTGAGGCAGCTCAGCCTTTATCCCATGAGGGGAATGGAAACACAAAGATGTTCCTTGCTGCTGGAAATGCTAATGACTTTGTTGTTGTTGAACTTACTGTACAAGAGAAGTAATAACATTTTAGCTCGGCATGCTCAGTGTCCTTTGAGGGGAAAGGTGGGAGGCTTGTGGATATTTCAGCAGTTCAGTTCCCAAGTGGATGCTGACAAAGGGAGCATTCCCAAGCCGGCAGACAGCAGGGCTCCCTCGACAGCACGACAGCACATCCTGTTCCAGCAAAAATTGTTTTCCGCATGTGTAAGTAAACACTTTAAGCATGAGATTGAGGGCCAGCAGACCTATTTCTCAAGACCCCACTAGGGCAAGGTTTGGTGAAAGAGAAGGAAGAGAAGTCTTTGTCCCACTGGGACTAAGCGAACAGACAATACAACTCTCTCCTAGAACACAGACCCTTAACTTTCATCTCTTTACAAACCAGGAATAGATACTCAAACACACTCC